AAATCCAACCTCATGCAGCTTCAGACCCAGAGTGCTTCTCCTGGGAGAAGGCTGTGAAACACACCTTTGGGAAGCCAGTAGGCCGAAACCTGACTTTGAGAGACGGTCATGTCTTTTAGAAGAAAAGATGGTACATCCCAAATCACCGAGAGCTCAAACCCAAAATCATGAACGCCCTAGATGATGATCAAAGCCAACAAGCCACTTTGGTCAATTCGAAACTGCAGAACATCTTCGGGCACTGTTCTTTTGCACAAAGATGGACAATGATATGGGAGAATACATACAGATTTGCGATACATGTCAAAGCGATGAAAACTACAGTAATAAGAAGTACAGGATGTTACCAAATTTAGAGGTCCCCAATACTCCTTGCAGCTCCATCTCGATGGACTTTTTCGTCAGTATGCCAGAATCTGAAGCCTATACCAGGATCGGAGTTATTGTTGAACGCTTTACGAAAATCACTTACTTCATACCGCTCAAGACCGAGGCAACAATTAAGGAACTTGCGAATATATTCCTTCTAGAAATATGCCGACTACATGGACTATCCGAAGTAATAATTTCTGAATGGCACTTCAGATTCGGAAGCAAGTTCTGGCATTCATTGATCAAGGTTCTCGGAGTCAACCTTTGTCTGTCTAAGGCACATCGTCCTCAAGCTGACAGGTAAACTGAAAGGGTCAATCAAACGCTAGAGCAATATTTCAGAAACTTTTGGTCCTACCAATAGGATGATTGGGTAGGGTTACTCCCGCTTGCACAGTACGCCTACAAAATGGCAACCCAATAGACCAGTAAAGTATCCCAGTTCTACGCGAACTATGGGTTCGAGCCTGATTCAAATTGGTATTCGCACAGAAGGAAGCTGGACAATGCTAATGTTTCCAGCGCCGTACTAGAGTCCAAGTGGAACGCTCTTTGAAAAACTATGAGGACTGATATTTTTCAGGCACAGGCCCGGCAGACGAAATGGTATGACCAGAAGCATATGAAAGCTCCAGAACCTAAAGATTTGGATAAGGTGATGATGGACCGACGCAATATGGTTGCCGATCGACCCTCAAGCAAGCTTGACTACAAGAAACTATGTCTCTTTGAGGTTGATGAGAAAGTTGTTGTTGCGTTCTACAGGCTGAAGCTTCCCTCTCAATGGAACATTCATGATGACTTCCAAATATTTCTGCTGGAGTCCTATCGGGGACTGAAATACCCTCGACGCACTGAAGTCCCTCCTACTCCAGATGAGGTCGAAGGAGAATACAGTCACGTTCTCCGAGAAATAGCTCATAGCCGATGGCAACATGCTAGGCATTAGAAAATGTTTGTAGAGTATCGCATTGTTTGGGAGGGCTATCGTTCGGAAGACTCCTGGGAACCATATGAAATTCTGCAAGGAAGAGCCGATGAGGCCCTGAAAGTATTTCATCAAAAATACCCGCAAAAACCTCGGAAAATACGGGAAAACTTTATGGATCCTCAAAACACGGCGTGAGTAGCTCTGTATCTCAGAAGAAATCTGGGAACAAAAACCAACTCTCCTGTCCCAGGTTTTTCATCTGTCTGACAGAGTTCGGATACCATTTTTCCCTGAAAACAATGCAAGAAAAGATAGAAAACCGAAGCGTGAGGAAACCCGTGTAAAAAAGACAAGGGAAAAAGAGAGATTCTTGCTAACACTGAAATCTCCACTAGTGGAACGGAAGGTTCTACGACAAGAGTGGAGAGTATGTCATTTTCTTTGTTTTAAAAAGCATTTCATTTTAGAGTTTTCCTTCTCTGATGGAGATAGAAACAGACATGTAGTTTGTACGTAATCACCAATAGACCTACAGTTTTCCTTCTATGCCAAATACTAATATTCCAGTAACACTATAGTGGACGCAAAATGAGTCTACCATAGAGGAGAGTAATGTAACAGTGCCACTATGAGGCTGTTACAAAAGAACCTATTCCATCAGCTAAGCCACCGACTTTAAGTAACAGCAGCTTGTTCTTCATCGACGTGTGAAGACAAGAGCAGTTGAGCTCGTACCTTTATTCGTATAGAGGACAGGGATCTCAATGAGTAAGAAGTCTTACAAGTCAAAAATAGGGGGCTGAGCAAGCTTGGAACAGAAGTACAAAGATGGCTGATAGGACAGGGAACCCCGGACGGCAGTTCCATACCTAGTCAGTCGAATCTTTCAGGTTTCATATATCTGCAACTGACGCTCAAAGACCATGCTTTAGCATGACAGACATGATTCTGACGGTGTCCCGGAGCTAATGGAAAATCTAATTCCAAAAACACGTTTTAATCCCCAACACTAACCTTCGCAGTATCAAACTGCCGGAATGCTCCTGTTTTGCTCCGGAGTATCTTTGGGGAGTGGGAGTGCGACTCAAGCTACTAAAGCAAAACTTCGGTTTACAAACACTCAAATCGGTTCTAATAAAGTTAGAATAACCAATTATTATCTAGTCGGCTGTTTCCAATAGTTCTTAAGATTCCGACCACAGCTTTTGGGAAATTGCATGATTCGACTCAGACAGAAGTTTATTCAAGGTGTCGTAGTTACTCTCCTCTCCCCTGATAGAAAATAGTTGCTATACCCCCGACTATCAACAGGCAGACTGTCAGTCGGAAAAAGAACTTGAGCATACGCGCCGTATTTCTATTAGGCACTCGGTGTTGCCCCAGGTTGGCCTCTCATCATCAACGGATCTTTAATAGAGAGAAGACCCCTTAAAGTTATAATTTTCTAGACTTGAGAATGTTTAAACATACAAACTGCATTTTCTTCTTTCTGAACGAGTATCATCAAAACTCACTCTCTTTATTTACACTATTCGAAAAGAAGTCACGGTTATGCCTCATCATAGTACGTCAGTTACATGTGGTTGGCGATCGTCATTGACATGGTCGCATATGCTTCCACCATATTGGGTCTGTCCGACAATCTTTCCGCCAATTCGTGAATCTTGACTCCTTTGTTGTAATGCAAGTGGGACATGTTTCTGATGAACTGCGAGTTGTAGGTGGCAAAGTCTCCTTTGCCTTGCCTTATGGGGACAAGTTGATGGTGGGTGGTACTTCGGGTGTTTAAGTCACTAAACGAGGCTTCCATGTGGTCGACGAAGATGGTGACAGAGGAAAGGAAGTCAACAGGATTGGCATTAACAAGTGGTCTGACCTGATCAAGGGCTCTTCCCTCCAAACAGCTGACCGCGTAGATAACCTTTACTGTCTCATTGGCAGTGTTATCGCGGTTGAGCTGGTTGGTGTTTGGTTTGATTGGTTCAATAGCGATGGTGAGGGTGTTACTAACGACCCAAGACATATAGTTGAGGTCTATTCTGGCGTTTCATTCCTGGAGGACAATCCTTGAGTAAAATGTAGTCATATCTGGGTGTGTATTGTTCATTGTATGGGGCGTGTTCTGCGAAGATGAAGAATGGTTCTCACAAAGCAGAAGTTCAGGAAGCCTTGCTAGGACATGACGGATATCCCGGATCGGTTGGGGGCAGGGGAGACCTGTGAAAGTCTTCTTTCCCTGCCTGAAGTACTCGGTGGGGTAGAGGAGCATAACGGGGTCGGGTATGCCAGGTTATAAGTATTTTGCTACTGTCACGAAGGTTGTTTTCCTTTCTTAAGCAAGGGGTTTGGGGGAGATAAGAGTTCACAATTCAGGGACCAGAGTGACAATAACTTAATATACAAACAGATGTGCGATAAGATTTTTGTATATTATGTGGTCTACGGACATACAGGATCCTGTTTGCGACAAGGTTTTATTGATTTTGTTAGGATTATAAGTTGTTAATGTTATGTATTAGAGTTTAGTTTATGAGTATATTTGAAAATTTTCTTTGGGTTTCCGGGTTAGCGGCTCTCAGATAAAACTAACATGTTTCGAAAGAATTCAGTTTTTGGGTTGGAAAAATATAATTCAGTAAGTTACGAGAAGTAATCCATTTACTTAGTAATTTTGACTAATCCTAACAAGGGGAGATGGAAAACCAGACTGCAACAATACACAATATGGAATGTTGGTCATGGATCGTCACTCACATATTAGGTTGCAGGTATTGCACATAGCGTTGTTTGAGATTGAAATCCGAATTAGTGTTAGAAAACACACCGGGCGGTAACCTGGAGGTCAGAATCCGAGTTGGCGTAAGAAGACACAGCGGAGACAAGAAGTGGGATTCGCCCGATGCGGTAACCCGCAGTTCGGAATCCGAAATTTATGTATTCCATCGAAGCAGAGGATGGGGAAACGCGGCATCATTGAATTTCATGCGCCGTCATGATCGTGGGCTCGAGATGGTGCGTTCGGTGCCATGCAGTCATCGATCGTTGTAACCGCCCGGTGAGTGGCGGTGCCGGGAGTGAACCAGGACGGGATGCCAAGACTCACAGTGAGTTACCCTACTCAACAGCCCCTAACCACCACCTCCGCCCCCGCAATCAAGACCACGACCCCCTGTACGTGCATACCTGATGATGGGAATGGACACGAGTCGTCCTGTTCAACCCATAGGCACGGAGCCCGGAATTGTGTGGCAACGGTTCCCAGGCAACCTCAAAATCCTGTCCGACATTGCACTACTAGAGAGCAGGCCATTAATGCCAAACGAACGCCGGCTCCGCGGTACGATATTGGCAATATGGTTTTGTTTCAGCAAAAAACATCCGAATCACTTGTAACTCTCGAAAGTTGGACTGGAAGAGACTGGGACCGTTCCCCGTCAAGGAAATCATATCGCCATATGCGTACCGAATCGACCTGCCTAGGAGTATGAAAGTGCACTACATCTTCCACGTATCATTGTTAGACTCCGCCGCAAATGATCCTGTCCCGGGGCAAACTCAACCACCACCCCCGACTATTATCCTCGAACAGGAAGAAGAGTACGCAGTGGAGGAAATCTTGGATTCAAGGGAAACAAGGAACAACGGCCTGCAATATTTTGTTAAATGGACAGGCCATATCGACCCCACTTGGGAACCCGCCACGTACCATGATAATACCGCCGTCCTTGATATTTTCCATGCACGTTATCCCGATAAACCTGGACCGTTGAAGGGAAGATTAAGGTTAACGCTCGCAGGAGCTCGTGCTTGAAGGAAGGGGCTACTTTCATGTATCGACTAGTGAATACACTGGGTTACGAGGAGTTGGATTAGTCAGAAAGGTTCTATTGGGTTCTACCAGGTTCTGTTGGTTGTTAGTATATTTGTCACTTTGGATTTGTCATCGCTGGTATTTCACTTGGGTATATTAAGGGGGGTTCGTTTTATTTCTTGTTCTTTTTTTTTTTCTTTCTTTACGCAACGTCTTCTGTGTCTATGCTGTCTATTACTATACAATTTTATCTTTCTCTTCTTTACTCAAGAAGACCACCGCCTCGCTTTCCTTTGTCCCGTTGACCCTTACCACGCCAGAGTCCCTTAGGACCCCTATTGTGAGTTCCCACACCGACCCCTACTACCCCTTCGTACCCTGCGGAATACTCGCTACTCGCCCCCTTGAGATTTGGTTGCCATACAACTGGAGTCTGAATCAATGAGCTCCCACTCATGTGTAACCTTAATGATTGCTGTAGAGCCTTTGCTTATTGTAGACTTCTCTGGCATAATCCCTGTCGTTTCTGGCAGAACTGCATACTCAGAGGATACAGAGGGTCACTGGGCATTCAGAGCTTCACTCTGGCTGGACTTTTAGTTCTTGGTGAGGCATAGACTTATCAATCATTGGTCTTATAATAGATCACCTTCCTAGTGCCCAGAATGTAGTTAGTCTGACAGTTGATAGCTATCCAAACTGCCGGTACTTAAACATCACTGTGCAACGGGGTTCTGACAATAACTCTGAGCATGTAACTGGGCTCTGTGTATACTCACACACCATACAGTTGAAATGGCTCCATTATACCCGGCTTCAACAGTATGTCACATAAGTGGCGATCCCGTTTCGTGACAGCAATATGAAAGAGTGTCTGGCTAGCTCTGTTTTTGAGGTTTGTATTCTCTTTAGTGATCAGGAGAAAATCTACCGCATCTTTATGTTCTTCGTCAGATGCAATATGGAGAGCACCCGATCCATCCATATCTATGGCAGTAATGTTCGCGCCATGCGACATCAGATGCCATAGTGACTTGACTTGACCAAAGGTAGCGGCCACGAGCAATGAAGTAGTTTTATTTATGATTGGCACCTCGAGCTGGGTACTATGAGTGAGCAGAACATCAATCACATCCTTGTTTCCAGCTCTAGAAGCAACATGTAGAGGCATACAAAATGAAAGATTATTGTAGTTCACATTCAGATC